GACCCTGCTTTGGCAGGAGGGTTGGACTAGATGACCCACAGAGGTCCCTTCCAACCCCTACCATTCTGTGATTCCGTGATTTCTTGTGCTCTGCAACTGACAGCGTATCACTTGGGTCAATCCTAAGTCAATCCTAAGTGATCACACAAGACAGAAAATACAACATATGGTGTAGCACAGTAAACAAAAAAGGATCCAGGAACTGATTAGCTGCAAAAAAAGAAGGAATGAGAAAAACGTCTCTTACCTGGTCAAGATTGTTGTAAAAATCTATACTGGCTGCACACAGGTATCTCCCAAGCAGAGTTGCATGGGTAGTAAAAATTGTGGCAACAGGAAGTTTCTGAGATCGAGACAGTATTAAACCCACTCCTGCCTGCCACTCATGGAAGTGGGCAATTATGCTGGGCTTGTTGTCAAACTGACAGGAAAGCTGAAAATAATTAGAAAGAACATACATGAAACACACATTATCCTGCTCATCATCCCAGAAACCTCTTTTTTTTCATGCCGTCTTCTGTGTGCCTGCTTTCTTTCATATGACAAAGCAGTACAGTGTTTTTAGTGGTCATCTGTCTTGATTCCCATCAGCCCTAATCCTTAGCCCAAGAAACATATGTGCCTCACTAGTGCCTCAGAACAGCATCCTTCCTAGAGTGTTGGGAAGCACAATCACTCTTCTTTCTCTTAACTTGCTCTTCTGCTTTTGAAACTCTTGTTTGGGTAAGAAAATCATGAGCACCTATGACAGACAGATGATTCTGCAGATTAACGAAGTTTCCTCTCTTCAGGTAGGCTGTGGTAGAGGGACATGCAAAGTCACAGGGCTACCATTAATTCTTTCCATCTGTCTATATTCCCTGTGCAAGGTAGTAGCTAATCGCTGAGATATGGCTTGACCAGCTTCAAGGACAGTTTGTGAGTGTGACAATTTCACTACCACAGGAGTGAAAAAGGGAGTTTGAGATCCTACTTGTAAGAGCATCCAGTGACAAATGAGGGAGTTGTGAAGAGACAGTGGGGGAAGTGACAGTAAAGATACAGCAGATATCATACAGGGCAGTCCCCAGCCCCACCTTCTCCCAGAAAAATATAGTTAAATGACCACTTAAGATTTACGTTTTAAATGCAAATTTCATCCACATCAGGTATCAACTTCCTTAATATCACAGTTTTCAAACTGGAGAATAGGAAGCACATTCCAAAGTTTTATGCCCTGCTGACAAGCGTGAAGTTTGAAAATCTCTAGATTTAAAAACTGTACCTCTTTTAAAAACCAGGCTGTTAACGACCCAAAAATCACAGCATCATTGGCTTCTCGGTCATGAAAAGGGATCCCTATGTTGCTGACTTCCCAAAAGTCACCTTTCCACCTGTCCAGGTTCCAAGCTGCTGATCCTATATCGAACAGTAAGACATATGGGCTGCCCTCTATTAGCCATCTTCCAAAATAGACCTATGGGAAAGAGGCAAGGATAAAAGCAGAAAACATTAAAGTGAATGTAAAGGCCAGTTAGCATAACTATTTTCATCCATCAAATCTTAAGTATTTTACAAAAGCAATATGTGATCATAGTCCTACATATCTAGAATTTGTGGTTTTCCTTGCAAAATACAAAGAGTAATACAGGAAGAAAGGCAGGGGTAAAAGGAAACTACAATCTTTGAAAATATTTTGGTTTTAAGACTTTCATTTTAGATTTTCATTAAAAAAAGGCTTAGGAAGACTATACTTGGATAAATAATGAGGTCTTCTGTTCTTATTGAAGTATCTATGCCATTTTTGTTCTTATTTCAAAGCTATTATTTTCTTTCAGTCAGATTTGTCACCAATCTTTTGCCAGTTATGCTAGATTACTGGTAATAGATTTTGTAGGACAGGTGCATTGGACCTGTATGTACCATGATATTTCCTCATTCTGCCCAAGCAGAGCACTTGATGCCCTTTTGCAGAGTGGAAGGATCAATCAGAAAGTCTAATAATACCGAAAACCACATCAGCCTGAAAACATAGCTTTATCTGCATCGCTACAGTGAAAGATCTCTAAGAGTATTCCAGACTCCACTGACATAAACTACCTGCCCAACCTGCCCAATCAGGAGAGTAGGCTGAACTCTCAGAAGGAACACAACACAGCTGGGCCCACATTACAGACTGTACCAGTCTGTACAATCAAATTATTTCACATTAATTCTACCAACAAAATGACTATAGCAGCAGAGACATATTAACCAGAAAGAATGAGGTACTATAGGGAGGCTAGTTCAGTTTATAGCCCTTGCGGAAGAATCTTATACGCCACTGAGCAATCTCTTTTCATTCACCAACCCCTGGGACCTCAGGGGTTGAACCCAGCCCTGACACTGGCACGAGCTGAACAGAGGCCAAGTCTTGAAAACAATAAGATGATCAGTTTGCACAAAAAATACAGGGTGTAAGAAAGGCAGGTGTGTGAAGGAAGGTCAGCTCCTTACGTACTTATTTCAGGCTGTCCAGGTTTCTTATTCAGCAAAATGATGTTAAAGGGCAAAGAGTTTCTGTGAATCCAGACTTCATCTACAGATTAAGTCCAGCTGTGGCAAGGAACACACCTGACCTGAGAAGTCTGGATGCATTCCTAGGTCCCTTGCTTTAAAGGGATCCATTGTGATGCATAAGCAAAACCCAGACATAAATGTTAATAGGATAAGTGCAGCTCCTGGAAACTAGAGCATCATTATTAGAGATCAAAGCTATATTTGACGTACCTGGGACAGATTTGCTGCTCTATATGAATACTCCAGCAGCACAACGCACATGATAGGATGGCAGAGTTGGCTGATTAAAATGAATGTATTGCTGGAACAGCATTAAGTGTATAGATATAGCATTGCCATTAATCTGCCCCACATAACTTTAGCTGTTTCCCAAACAAAGAAGTGTTACACAGCTTGCAGAGACATCTCTTTGTAAGCAACAGAGGCAACATGGAAAACTTGATCAATCATTTATGAAAATTTGACTAGAAATAAGAAACGGCAGTTAGATTAGACCTTTCAGTTTGAACCTCAGCCGGAACAATGCAAGCGTCACACAATATTACTGTCCCCAACGGACACTTTCAAAAGCTGTGGCACATATAAATCCAACAATATACTTCTACGTAATATGCAATGGGGCATTAGATCCTTTGTATCAGAACTACAAAGGGAGATAACACACCGCCAGCGCCACAGCTGCTGGAAGTCCAAGAAGTTTATGAATTTCTACATTAAAGTATGTTACTGTCCTGGGTTCGGCCAGGACAGGGTTAATTTTCTCCAGAATCCAGGAAGCGGCACAGCTGGCTGGGCTGACCCAACCCCAACCTGAACAAACAGAGCCCGGTATTCCATACCATGTGCCGTCATGCAGGGTTCTGGTGGGGGGGGCGGCGCGGCGGGAACTCACTCGCGGCTTGGGAGGGCTCAGCGGCAGTTCGGTCCGAGAGCGCGGTTCTGTTCTGCAGGTTTGTTTTGTATATTCCCCTTTTCTGTATCGTTGTTGTTACTGTTCCCTCTGTTTG